TATATATAAAAGAGAACCCTATGCCCGCCTACGTGGCGCCACCACAAATCAGGATTCCCTTTTAATTTATTTATTTCCAAAACTAGCCTTCCCTTTCATGAAAAGTTGCGGCTTTTATGAAAAGTTGCGACTTTTATGAAAGGTTGTGATCTTTTCGAAGGGTTGCAACTTTTCCAAATAGTTGTGACCTTTTCGATAAGGCACAACAAATATTTGTTCACACTACCCTTTGTTGTCTATAAATAGAGGGATTTCCTCTCATTTTAAAACAACGAAAATTCTAAACTTCTTATTCTTCTTCTTTTTCATCTTCTGCACAATTAAATATTTGTGTACTTTGCTCCTATTGAGTTGCTCACTGACACCCTTGCTTATGTTAGAGATCCTGGTATTTTTTTTAGAGTCATAAATTTATGCTTATGTCATTAAGGATAAATGATAAGATGTTATAATTTTCATTTTCCTTTACATTATTAAAGTTCGTTACTACGTAATCTTGTATGTAAAATAATATAGTATTTTCGTTTTAATGACCAATAGATTTTAAGTATTATTTTATAAATTCTGTGATATTAAATTCCCGCGTGAAGCGCGGGTAATTTTACTAGTTTTATTGATAATGGAGAAGCATTAGTACGAAACCATCGATCAATTATGTCTTAGTTCCAAAAAAACTAGGATCAATTTATAAATATCTGAAATTAAAAGGAATTCAAATGACTCAGACATTCATGGCCAATTTAACCTGATATTTTATTTGAGCTATGGAAGTAACCACTAATGCTTGCATTAGGGTATGCTGTCTACATCACATCCTTTGGGGGTACAGCCCTTCCCCTTCCCCTGTGCTAATGCGGAATGTTTTGTGCACCAGACTGCCCTTCTTTTCTTTTCCTATTTCATCAATTGGGGTGCAGTTGAGTTGTATAAATGTTTAGGCTACACCACTGCTAAACTAAGATATAGTGACCACATTAATCATTTTCATTGTTGTCCCTTCAATCTTCCAATTTTCACTCTTCAATGGGTGCATTACTCAACCTTTTATAGATACCCACCAAACTAGGTACTTTTTTTTTTCTCAATTTATTTTTCCCATAAGAGCTATTAAAACACACTGTTTTTCACCCTCACTCCTTTGGAAAAGTACAGTTCTCTCTTCTTATACCACATGAATTATCTCAACAGTGTCATCCCAGCCATCTATAACTCTTCGGAATTGTTTCTGTGCTTCAGAGACAGCACAATCTTGTTTAATCACATGCATGATATTACTACCCATCCCTTGATTAGTAATATTCATCTCCATCATACCTAATTTCCTTCAGTTTTATCAGTAGATGAATTACTGACAACATTCAGTGCTCAGGTCATTGTTAAACAAAGATGTCTTTCCAGATAGTACATTTTAACTATGCAAACATGACTTTTTTATTTATTTGTCAGATCAACTATTTGGGTCTTGTATGCTACCAAGTAGAAAAACATTGTGGAATTAGGAACAACTCCATCAAATGGTCATACCGCCTATTGAAGAAGCAGACTGGCCTATAGCATTTCACTGGATTAAGAGGGGTCTCTCCTCACCCTTTGAGAAAAATGCTGAGTACCTCCCGGCCTTTCCAGAGCAAAGGAGAATAGGATTACCTAATTTACAAGTATAAGCTATAGTTGTGATATGTGTTTATCTCATATGTGATGTGACAATTTGAGCATACAAACTTCTCCTTCCTTCCACATGGAATATGCTACAACAGAAGAATAAGAACAGTATTCCCTCCTTTCTCATACACAGACAGACTGGAATCTCTCTCTCCACACACACACAGAGCCGAGACACTCACAAATGGACAAGATGGGTACATTCTTAATAATTATGTACCACACCGTATTTTTATTTGGATAACTCTGTAACTAATATCACCTTATAAGCACCAAATAATTCTACCTTCTCCACTTAAATATTAGACTTTGGTCTGCTAAAGGTTCAACCCCGTAACGTGCGCCTAATCTACACATAGCATGTTACACTTTTACCAGCATACCAAATCCCAGGGAGCTTGCAGTGTCCAAATTCCACCTTGCTGCTTTCATAACATGACCACTGATGCCATGTTGTAAGTCTTAAAAAATGCTAGAATGGCCTCAATTAATGGAATATCTTCTATTTTTTTTACTTTCAGTAAGCTGATTTTTGTATATCTTTCCTCGAAGAGGAATGCAATGCAAAGGAAAACCAAAACTGTCATTCAATTTTCAGATATAGCTCAACCATTCACTAAAATCTTTGAACGTCCAATGACCAATAGTTGAAGAGAGGATCTTACCCTGGGAATACATTCATAGCCTCCTCCCGTGACATTCAGTAAAGCCAAAGACAAAACTCTCTCAGGCACCATTGCAGCCAATTTGCAAGATATCATAGCTCCTGAATGATTGGAAAAGAGTCCAAGTAAGCACAAATGTTATCAAATAAGTGTTTTCCCAGCCAAAGAATGAACTTGATTCTCAAATAACTTGTTCCACATTTTACACAAGTTGTTAAGCTGTACTGCAATGATCAGTTTCTAAAATTTGAAATGCCTTAAACTACTATTCGAAAGTTTAACTGGAATACTATATACTGCACATTTTATGCTTGAAGACATACCAAGTCATCATCAATAACGCCAACCAAAAGAACAGAATCAGAAACTAACCCATTGAATGACCAAAGACATGCGCTTTTTCCCACCCCAAGTGATCCATTATAGCAATTGCATCTTTAGCCATAATACTAGTCCTGCAACAACAAACATCCAACATCAATTTAACTTGCTAACTACTTAACTTTAGTTCTTAGCTAAGAAATACTAGAAAAGTAGTTGAAGGTCTTCTCATATATCTAATTGGATCCCCACCAACAACAACTAAATTTTATCTCGAATTAGCTCGTATTAGTTGTAAATATCCTACAATAATCAAAAAAGTTTTTCCTTTTCCTACTTTATTCCTTCACTATCAGAATTTTCCTCAAATAAGTTTGAAAAATACCAAAAAACTATGGAAAAGTAATTAAAAATACTGGTAAATGGGACTTACGTATATTCTGACTTTTTAGTGGGTACAGAGCTTAACCCCATTCCACGATTATCAAAAGCACAAACCTCCATACCCCCACCTTCACCGGAGCTCCGATCATCGGCTGGCGATTCAGAATCATTCGGCGTAATCGTCCCGGCGAGCGCCTTGATCTGTGGTTCCCATGAACTATGCGTCGCAGCCAATCCTTTAAATCATTCAGAAACAAAGAAACCAAAATTCAATCCACATTAAGAAAAACCCATATAGAAAAAACATTGAAAAATGTCAAGAAAAACGAAGAATACCAATAATCAAGAGAACTTTGACCGGGCCTTGACCATAAGTTCTGTAAAAAATCTTGGTTCCATTGTTGCCAGTTGCATCTACACCGTTCTGGTATTTACCCACCTCACAGAAAGGCATGTTTCGCTTTTTCCAAGGATAAAAATCAAGTCTTTACAGATTTTTTCAGAAAAAAGAGCAAAATTGGAGAAGAAAACGGAATTAAAACTGAGAACAAGAGTGGATTTTTTTTTTGAAAAAATGTGGGTTCCTTAAATCGACAATCTTAAGGCTACTCGGTTTTGGTTATATTTATTTCTTAAAAATCAATTTTGGATGTTAAGTGGGCCGAATGTATACGTGGCGGATAAGGAACGGTTGGATGGTAAAGTTAGTGTGGACGGTCTGCTTTGAGCAGCTTAGCCTGGGAAAAAGTCAAAAGTCAAAGAAATCGCTTTGTCAAAGTTTTTTTTTTGTTGTTTTTATCTGGTATTCGGTATCCATGTTGAAAACTAATTAAATTTAAATTCGTGATGGAAAGTTTCACATTGTGTACGTGACTCTGCACTTAGGGGCATTCAAACTTGAGACCTCTAATTAAGCATGAAATAACTTATCATACCATCACAAGTTCACAACCCTTATTAATGAAAGAAAAAACCTTTGATTTTGAGTCATCGTGGAACCTATGAGAACAAATATATCTATTGTAGTTTTAAACGCGGAGTGTGAGGAGGATAAAATATAGTAAAATTTATTTTTATCTCTATATATAGAGAGATTATTTCTGCTGAACCATCTCAAAAAAGAAATTATCCGAACAAAAATTGAAAAAAAAGAAGTCAATATACATATAATAAAACACATTGAAGAATATAATTTATTTATTTATTTGAAGGATTGATAGTAGTAGTTGAACAGTAATTTAAGTTATGGACTTATGGTTCTCATTTGCTTTCCAACGTATTTGTTAATCTTTAACGATCTTTTTTCCCTTTAAATGCTTTGTGTAATATTCCCCCTTTTTTTTCTCACGTGCAACACAGATTTAACGTTTTTCCTTTTTTTTTTTTGGCTTAATTTTTCCACAAGAGTTGAAAAGAATAAAGATATTTTAGTTTTAGAGGTCATATTTGTTCCAACATAACTTTGAAGCATGTGGATGAGAGGAAATTTGAATGTGTTTTGATGTTAAAAGCTGATTCAGCAAATACACGGTTGCATGCATTTGGACAAAATAACAACTTTTATCTACTCTAATACAAAAGACTGAATTTCGGTATAGTCATGTTCAATAATAACATTTTATTATAATAATTTTTTTTTTAAAAAAAAAATCGATCTTTCATGTTATGTTATATTTCACTATAACAAAATAAGACATCCAATAAAACAACTTCTCAAATTTGAAGATAGGGGAAACTCTGTACCATTTTGTGTCATTATTGCTTGTAAGTCCATTTTAAAGAGAACATTGTAATTCTATAATTGAAAACAATTTGAATATAAATTTTCATAGACCCTGAATAGCATACTTTTTATAATCACATAGATATCATAATATTAATACCTATAGACGAAAAGTTTGGGAGCAATCTTTTTGTCTTAAAACTCCGTCGCAGTTCAAACTGTGCCATGCAAATTGGAATGAAGGGAATATAACATACAAAGATTTCACAAACTTTTTAATCATCTGAACAGAGAAAGTATATTCAGCTAGCCCAAATATATTAATATCCTACCTACTGGAATAATCTCCAAAGCATTCTGATATGAGAAAACACACAGCTTACATATGATATAAGACCTTAGCCCAACAATATTTACAAAATGCCTTTGGGATTGAGGCGTAGTAGTCGTATATTTACAGAATGTGTAATCCTATCTATCTCCGACTTGATCTGATAGAAAAATGCATGGAACATACATACGTGAATTAAGCAAACCAGAAAGATGGTTTAGAGAGCAGGAAATAGCCATCCCATGGTCAAACCAAGTAGCAAACCAGCACCAGCAAGACTTAAACCCAAGGCAAAAGCTACAGCAGACTTGTTTATCTTGAATTTTCCCTTTCCTGCCTTCTTCTTAATAGGCTTATTATATCTAAACTTCTTCACTTTCCGTCCTTTGATTGGGATAACGGGGAAGCAAGTCAAATAGTTGATGGAATCTTGCTCATCTTTGTTCCTGAGCTGGAGGACAAGAGCTTCAAGCTGCAAAATTTGAAGCCACTGCCGGTAAGCAAAGAGGTGAGATGCCTGCCTGAAGAACAGCTTGATCACGTGCTCCTTCTCGTTGTAGGCTTGCTGTGCCAGTTGTTCAGCCTCTCTTGCACGGGTTTGAGAATGGCATAGTGCTTCTAACAGCTGTGTTTTGCTGAGATCGCTTGATCCTGGTTGGGTTTCTGATGAGAGGACGTTGGCAATACTTAAATTGTCATCACCACTGGAATTAGAACAATACACGTTAGTGTTCTTAATAATTAGAGAATGAGATGAGACGGAAGCTAGGTCAACCACAATACATTTTATGCAATTGTTTGTGGAGTTTCACAATATTACAGAAAACTTCAAAACTACGAAGAACTTCATGACCCCAGGACATCCTTTATTCATTTACTTGAAATGAAGAGATTCTGCAATGTTAGGTGATTGGAAGAAAAAAAAGACCGAGTAACTATAAGAGATATGTTTTATCACTCTCCGGGAGTCATTGTTGATTATTCCACTACATTTGTCAACAGGAAGCCCCAACCAGCTTATCAAAGTGGGTTGAAATTGCAGAAATGAAGGGAAAGAACAGTCTATCTTTTTTTCTTTTCCTCTGTCTCCTTTGTACAGACACGAGAAAAGAAAATCAATTTAACTGAGAGAATACTTCTAGGAGAAAAAGAGTTGAGGATTCGACTCACCTGCATTCGTGTCAATGAAATTTCAACAAATTGAGGGCATTGAGACTTTTAAGTTATTAATCCACATTACAGTACTAATTTACTACCTGAATATCCTTAAACTCTGCAAATCCATATTTCAGGCCTATAATAGATTCTCTTTTTTTTGTACAAATAAGAAAAATAGTTTTTTCTTTTCTCTCCTCCATACGGTGGAGGAAACTTGCTTCCACTTTTTTTTTCATGTGCTGCATCTTGTTACAAGATCGACAAACTAAGTAAGTTTACTTTATTGTATACCTCCTCCATCCTAAGACTATTATTTCTTTGCTTAAATGGAAAAGACAGTAGCTAAATACAAAAAGTCATATTAGTGTAGAGTAATGCTACTTCAAATTATTTTGAATTCGACATAGTACCTTTTCACATCTTTCAACCATTATAACTCACAAAATAACTTCTTCAAACATTTTTTCTTCAACCTCGGAAGAAATCTTCCCAGGGCATGTAAAATTGGTAAACGAAAATATGTTAAAAAGAACAGTGTGGTGGAGAAAGATAGTAGCTAGCACTTCAACCAGAAATGATAGTAGCTAGCTATAGTTGGATAAATACCTTACTGGCTGTCCTGAACGACGTGTTAAGCACCCTTTGCCAACACACAATATCTTCAGTTGGCTTTGTGAAGGATGTTGTCTTGGACAATAATCAGGAGTAACCAGAGATTCCTTTTCTACCATACTAACCTGGTTAGAACAATTATATGACTCAATTCCCAAAGACTGATGCCATGAATGATCAGAATACGTGATACATCCAGATGAATTGGGAGAACCTGAGGCAGATAATTCCTTATCAGCTGTGCGCCACCATGGTTGAGCCTTCTGAACTCCAATCCATTCAGAATCCAGTTTAGAACAAGCCTTCTTAGTTTGTCCAGGATCTAGGTCCATGTAATAATCAAGTTCCATAAATCCTCCGGAATCTGTATATATTGGTGTTCTCTGGGAACCATCGCCTACAACATTTTGGAGCATGTGCAATTGGCTATCTTTGTAATTATATGCAGAGGGGTTGTAGCCTTTGAGGTGGTGGTCTAGCTTTGCAACATCATCACAATATGTTTGAGAATAGAACTCCTCAATCAATTGGTTTCCTCCGCATAATTTCAGAACATGAACACTCTCCGCGCTCAAAACTTTGAGCTCTGACTCTAACATACTTGAAGGTTCATGTGAATCATCTTTCTCACATTCATGAAGTTCAAAATCCTTGCTGCCCAAAAGATCCTGTGACCCTCTTTTTGCATTTCTAGAATTGTGGTCGAACCTTAATTGTGCTGAAGACATTAGGAACAGAGAGAATGTTGGAGCTATCTCTTTATTTCTAGAGAAGAACAGGTTGACAGTTCACTCTCATATGACCCCCATCTTTGCAGCCTTTTAGCGTATGATCCTTTCCTTGTTATCCTGAATAAGCAATAGCAGGATATAACCATCTCAGCAACAAGATGAATACGGGTTAAAACCAAGCATCGAGAAGAAATAAATTAGTAATACATTAAGAGGTTATGGAATATGGCTTGGTTGGTTATAAACCAAAATCTAAATTAAGCATCAGAAAAAGCTTTGACTTATCAACTGAAGTTTCCGCAACTGCCCACAAATGGGGTCTAGGGAGGTTAGGATGCATTAACTTACCCCTACCTTTGTGAGGTAGAGAGATTGTTTCCGCTAGACCCTCAACTCAACAAAAAAGTCATTGAAGCAATGTATCACAAAAATATGCCAGTAAAATAGCAAAATACAAAGCAAATGATTGAAGCAACACATACTAATACACATTATAGAACAAGAGACTAAACGACTACTAAATAGCCCCTACCACTCCCACATAGAGTGCAATAACACTCAACTACTCACTAACCTTCTACCCTAAATCTTTTAACCTCCAAACCTTCCTACCTATCTAGAGTCATGTCCTCGGTAAGTTGGAGTTGTGTCATGTCCCCTCTAGACATGAAATCAAATTCACACAAAACAAAAAACATAACTAGCAAAATTTTATCCTCAAAAATCAAATCGAACCCGCTAAGGAAACAACATAAAAATCAAGATAAACGACAAGACAAATGGACTCCACACAGCTTAACTCCCCAGTCAACGCATAACAAACTATGATTTGCTCCCTTGCTTTACCCCTTTAAGAGTTTTTTTCTGCTAAACATGACACTTAAATCTTGAAAGGAATCACAAACCTATAATCACCTAACTTCAAATCATCACACCTATAATCATCTTTACTTTACACCTTCCCATAATCATATATAATCACTAATAAAAAAAACCCACCTGGAAAAACCCTTTTCCATCACACACCACCAAGAAAGATTCAATTTTTTTTCAGTTCATGGAGTCTCTATATGCTAAAATCAAGAATTCCCAAACACCTTTTATCTAGTTATGCATAAATATCAGTCAGTCTTGTTCGAATCAGAAAAAAAAAACAGTTTTTAATTCTATGAACAATAATAAAAAAAAAGGCAAGTGGAAGAGAGTATGATGGACAGTTGAAGAAATAAGTGAAGAAGAAAGTACCTGTTGGAGACAATCATGGAGATGCTTCGAAGGAAAGAAATACAGTATTCTTCATTCCAAAATATCCATTTTTATATTCAACGTCTTACAAGGGATTTTATTAAATTCAGTGTCACTATTAACTACCAATTAATATTGCAGATTAGAATAATTCCACGAAAATTTGCCCGTGTTTATCCATATATCCTCGTACATTTTAATTTTTTTTCTCGAACACTATATTTAAAATTCGGAATTCAAATTTTTAGGTGTTAATTAAGAAAGGAACGACCTATTCATTTACAATTATGCAATGCAATAAAATTGTAGCTCTTTGGAGTAAGTGAATTTATCATTTCATATAATTTATTTGCCATTTCGTATTAACTTTTAAATTTAAGTATTATGTATGAAAAAGATATCTTTAACCATCCTATTATTTTCAAGGTAATAATGGCATATATAATTATTAAGTATTAGTAATTGGTAAAAATATGTTCACAATGTCAATATAAATAACACATCCTATTCTTTTAAGCAACTATATCCCTTTTACCTAAGACAAATTTTAAAAATCCTACTTTTTTACTCTAGCTTATATTTTACATTTAAGTAAAATGAAAAGATCTTTTTTAAAATATGTACAAGCATAGAGTAGGGCATAATTCTAGTCTCTAGTATTAAAAATAATAAAACACCAATTCCTCCACCACCTTAGTCTCTACTAAATGCATTATTATAACCCATAGTTTCTTCAATGTCCCCATATCTAATTTTTAAATTATCATCGAGAATTATTGTGAGATATTTCAAAAAAAAATTGATAGGAAGTTCTTTTTTTTTCCGGTTAATATGCTTTACGTAACGCGAATCTGAATTAATCAGCCAATAGCAGATACTAAACAGACCAAAATTCCAAAAATGAAACTTCCTAGATTAAGAGGACCCCTGCATTGGTCCCCCTACTGCAGACTTTTCTCTGCAGTCAGCATAAGATTTTTCTACGTTCTCAATTACGCTTTTTGGTAGTAAACGACATTATACTTGAATAACTAAAAACTACTTGATTTAAAAGTTGATACATAATTTAGGAGATAAATAGTATTCCAAATATAATGATAAAATCAACACAATGTTTTTTTAAAATATGATTCACTATATTTCTGTGACAATCGATTTACATAGATAATTCAGTTCCAAAATAAGAATAGCTCAAATACAAGAACTGCGATGAATTTCAAGAATCTGGACATTGGGTAGTGCAAAATGTATGTCTTTGCCAGTAGAAATCATTAGTAAATGTAGGTTAAATGATGTCTTATTTCTATTCTTACAACATTCACATTGACAAGAAAGAGCATATGCGTCGTCAACCTTCAGATTAGCCAGTTATGTTGCAGGCTTGCAGCTGGAGTTTTTCTACAGAGCACCATCTGAATTTCCACTCCCAAGTCCAAAAGAGCATGTGCTTCTTCAACCTTCAGATTGACTAATTACCTTGCAGACTTGCAGCTGTAGTCAGAAGATTCTGTATGCACCACCGATGTTTTTTCAACTAAGTACATCAATGTCACTATCTCATGTAGAGGGAGTCGAAAGGAGTAAGCAGTGACATTTTTCATTGCCATAAGATGATCAGGCTTGCTATCATTTTCCAGTGTTCAACTACATTGTACATTGTAGTCAATCAGATAGCAGTTGGAATGTGGACACTGTCCCATTTGGGTCGACATGTCCAATGCATTTCCACACCTATAAGAAGCAAAGCAGTAGCAGGATTAGTAGATGGTAAGCAAGGCTCTTTTAACACTTTCAGACAATGCATCAAGAACCTATATGATACCTTTTGGTAGTATTCATTTGTCGGTAACTGTCCCCTAAGCTTTCATATCTGGTTCTGAATGTTCTCTGAAATATCACTACACTCTTGGATAGATATAGCTAAAAAGAATTTCTTTCATATGCCTGTAAATTTGTTAGTTTTGGCTGCCTTCCTTGTCCACCATGGCAGGAAGAAACTCAATCTTGTGCTATAGTCCAGTGTCTCTTTTCCTTTTGTGGCATGCAAACTCCCAATAGAAGGACATGTTTATCTTGCAACCACAATGATCCGACACTGTTAATAGCATGAAAGCAATTGCACGTCAAACATGCGGCCTTGTAGGATCTTTAATATTGAACCATTTGCTTATATTTAGTTCGGAGCTTTGATAATCTTCTTTCCAGAGGGAGTCCCTCATGTTTCCTCCCCATCTTCTCCAAGTAATATACAACTTTTTTAAGTGTTTCCATGACTTCCTCACTGTCAGTACCAAAAGCTTTCTCTTGAATTTTCAGTACCCTCTTGAGCAACTCCAGCAATTCACCATCATCCTTTCCCAGCTGGGTCTGAATGGAGACCAAACAGTCAAGAGCCTCCCCTGCGTAATAAACTCTTTAGCCAAAAGGGGAGAAATGAAAGAAAAGAACCTAAAAACACTAAACCAGCAACTACTTTTTTTTATAAGGATAAAGAGGGTAAGCAAATAGTACATGAATGGTGAAACAGCTTGCAAACATATTGATGGCAAACATTTTTCACTAACAGATCAAAACATACTGCTTAGCAGTTAGCATAAAGCAATAGGGAAAAGGACAAGCTCACCAACTGGTAGAGAATTTTCTCCAAATGCCCTCTCCCGGATTCGCAGAACCTCTAATGCGTGTTTTTCGGCCTCCTCATTACGGTTTAGATTGTAGAGAGTAACTGCAAGATGCAGCATTGGGAAAGTAATGGATTGATCATCAGGTGAAACATTCTTAAACATAATCTGCAAACTCATCCTTAGCAAGCGCTCAGCTTCTGCAAAAAGTTTGGACTGTGAATAAGAAGTGGCTAGATTCACTAGATGAGAGACTGAACTGGGATGCCCTTCACCCTTGAACTTCTCAGTTATCAATAAGCACTCCTCCAGTAGCATACGGCCTTCTTCACCTCTGAAAGATAAATGAGTGTTAAAGCAGTACTCAAAAGAACAAAGCCCTACAAAGAAGCTTAAGGTTTGCACAGTTTAATTCTTAAGAACAATTTGCCCCTATTTTATATTATTCTATAAAAACGGAAATGTGAGTATTGAAAACCTTTTCAGAATCGGTTGTAATGTGTCAAAATATAACGGATTTCTTCTTTTAAAAAGGGTTCGGAAAAAGTACATTTACCATAATTCTACTTGATTAATCAAAGGGAAGAAAATCATGTAAAGGACCTAAAAACCCTCTTAATCTAAAAGCCACACACACTCGGCCAAACCCTTAATTTATTTCATATAAGTTAAGTTGTGAAAAGTTCTATCTATTTTTATTTCCATGCTTCATATCTTCTCAATGGAAGTAGCAAACAATTCTCGAGCGCATTAATTTAGTCTAACTTAAGTCATAAGGGGAAGTAACTTAATGAAAAAAAGTCAAAAATGGAAAGTAAAGGATAAAATAGTTTATCTGATTTTAGTTTTCAAGGAAATGTTGCTGAGTGAGTAGTAAATAGGAAACAACTTCACCAAATGCAATAAAAAGGGATTTTTTTTATAAATATAGATGGTAAGTTAGAATTTATTTTAAGAAGGCCAAAATTTGTAACTCGTTAAAGTTTTAGAACACATTGACGTGATGAAAAGTACTTATCAAACAATTTAGACATGGGGGTGATCCCATAATTTTAATAATCACAGGAAATTATGTGCCTTTGTTGCAAAAATCAAGTAAGTTTATGAGAGAGAAAAGTTTTTGTTAAGAAGGTCAAGGATGTTTATGTAACTAACCCTATGCTTAATTAAAACATGATCCTCACCTTCCAACTGCATGAAGTAATTCAGCCAAGTCTACTCTCATCTTCTCCATTATGTGATCATCTATGGCTATATAATCAGAAACCTTCAGCCTGCGAAGAGCCTCTTTATACAGATCAATGGCTTCATTCACATCTCCTGTAAAGCACGCACATATGAAAACAGTACCCTTTTTTGGAGCAATTGTCAAAACAGGAATAATTTAATGGACACACAGCATAGAAAGCATCACAATTTGTAATCCTCCTACTTTTGGAATGAAAACCAGTTCATTATAATCTAGCACTTGCAGGAAGCTGAAAGTTACAACTTACAAGCAACTGGAATCTTTGGAACACAAGAATGTCAAGTTCACCATTAGTTATTCAAATTTACTTAGCTGTTCAAGCATTAGTCCTATCTTGTGTTGCTTTTGGGCACATTACTTCACTATCGACCTTTTCATTACTTGCTTCATTACTTGAGTAGTGGCAACCATAGATACGGAGAAGATTATGTGACACTAGGAACAACAAAGTAAGAAAAAATTGATCCGCCACAAGTAGGAAAATCATTGAATTCACCTTTTGCACATTTCACACGTGCAAGATAACTCATAGACAGTCCAACTCTGCCATCATTTTCTCCATATAACTTCATGTACGTGGTCAAAATTCTATATCATATGAAAAGAAAAGGGAAAAACAAGTTAGTATTGGTGAGTACAGAAACGAAATGGTCACGAAGCAAGATACATGTAAGAATAGTGATCACCTATTAAAAGCATTTTCTGCATCAGTCACTCTCCTTTCCTTCAGAAGAAGATTTCCCATGCCAAATAAAGGCACTACCAGTTCCTCACATTCTTCACCCCTGCTAGATTCAAGAATTTTAACTACGCGATGATATGTTTCTATTGCTTTTTTGGTCTTTCCAGTAGAACCCAAGACTTTTGCCATCCCTAACAATGGAGTGACAATAAATGAACTGGTATTTCCTGTAATGTAAAAGAAACGTGTCACCAAACTGCTTTCAGCCATATAGAAGAAGAAGCAGTGGCTTGATAACAGTTAAGAAAGTTGCAAATTTACAGATTTTACCAAACAACCAAATCATGTATTTCTAAACAGTTATATGGAAAACCAAATCCAACCCCATAGTAAATGAGATAGAATTCTATTTTAAGAAAATGAGCAGCACCACCATCTCACACAAATATATCCAGACGTAAATAAGCAACAACTATAAAGTGAAAAAAGAATCTGACTTACCGTATAGTCTCTCAACAACTTTGACAGCTCTTCCATACACACAAATGGACATCTCAAAATTTTCTAGCTTTTCATACATATTACCCATATGTGTGAGTATCGAGTCCAGAAGAGGCTCCTCATCTTTCAAGTCATCAACAACCTCACTCAACTGTCAGTACATCATGCCGCACACCCAACATACAGAAAAGGGTGACTAAAATGAGGACAAGTATGAACTCTAAAACAATAAAGTTATATTATTGCTTGAAAAGGGAAAGTTCTTATGTCAATAAATGATTTGTTCTTCACGGAGAAAATTGGAGTTGGAACTTCAAAAGAAAATGTTTGAAATCATGTCTCCGTGCTCTGGTTCTCCTAATTAATTTTTGCAGCTTATGTCTGTGCCTTTGAAAGGTCACTTGATCCTTTCATGGATTGATGATACAGAAAGATTAAAATCAGGAATTAGCATATATGACGAGGGAAAGAATTACCACATCTAACAGGGGTTTGACAGTCCTTATGTCTCCAAGGGCCATGTACCCCAAGGCTGTTACATCAAGAATAGCTGCTTCTTCTATACCCTTGTGGCCTGCATCAATCTGTTCTTTGACAGCTTCAAAATTTGCTAGAAGCAGATCTCTGGCCTCATTTTCCTTCCCTATTCTTATCATGGCATGGACTTCATTAAATAAGTCCCTCAGCTGCTCCTCAAGAATATTCACGCTGCTAGGCATGTTGTCCTTCAAATCTGTATACCTGCTGAAAACACATGCTGACATTGTAGTTCTCAATGGATATACTACACAAGTCTCCTAAATCTATACACTCTTAAACTATTGAAATGTTTAGAATTCATTGCGATTTTTTTTGAAGGAGATAGTCTATGTGAAAGGACGGGTAATATATTCCATCACCTAATGGGTTTAGCCAGTAGCATCAAACTCAGATAATGCTGGTAGATTATCCTCCATCTGAAGGAAATCATTACACCTCTTCACAAGATATTCATTGCAGAAATAATGATGGAGCTAAGTTGATGTCAAATAGGTGCTTAAAGGTGATATACCATTCGGATCTTCCACAATGAGTTAAGCACCAAAATAAGAGATGTTTCATTACTTAACAAAATATAATAGCTTATAAAATATTTTAGCTTTCAGAACTTTTGGTTCTCTGTCCCTGACTTTGTATTATCTACTTTCTCACAATTAATGTTTACCATGAGTCAAATAGAATAAATAATATTATCCTCTTGAATTCTAGATTGAAGAGAAGAATATTGAAATAGTCGTATGCCCTATTGATTAAATCGTCAACCATTATACGGAACTGGATTGTAATCTTAACTCAAAGTAGTATACTTAGTAGTTAGTACAACTAGAGTAATAATAGGCATTTCTGGAATTTGCATCACCCTAAAATGTCATGAGTCAGAAGTAATGAGGTGCTTTCCTGAGGTATGCCCAACGTCACACACCCCAAGCTTGCCTAATAGTTTTGTGTCAATGGAGTGCAAAAAACCTCGATCAACTGTATTCACCCTAAAAACTCCTTAAGTAGTATTGACCCTTAACTTCTCAAAAGCCCTTGCAGTGATTCTAAATACTAAGATTTAGAAGATGTGAAACTCAATGGAAGTCATAATATTGACAAATCCTCCTCTTGAGAATAATATGAGGTGAGTTTTGTTCGAGCCTTTCATAAAAAAATAAAAAAATCTGGCTTCATGTCTTCACTCCCACTCAATCTTCAAGTCTTTAGTTCTGTCTTTCCTCATCAAATCTCTTCTTTTTTTCTATTCTATTCCATCTAATAAAATTAAATAGCAAATTCTTTATAAGGTAAAGTTCTAACAAAAATTAAAAGTTTCCCTATGTACATTAATGGGTGATGAGACCGATATTTTGAGTTTTTTTTTTTTTCATAAACCATCTGTTAGTAACAACCTAAATACAATTCTGTCAAAATGCTACTAATTCCATTGATGGATTACAGTTATTAAGAACTATTTCTAATTGTAATCACTTATTCAAAAGCACAAAACTAGCTTCGTATTGAGAGCCTTAGGGAATGATGACATGATTTTTGTTAATTCTATCATGCTAGGGTACTCAACAATCATTTCTTCTATGACAAGAAAAACAATGAAACTATCAAAATGTGAATAAATCTGCATTTAAAAAAAGCAAAGCCCATACCTTTGAGACTCGATACTTGAATTAACTCCTTTGTTTTCGTACAATTTGGATGAGGTAGCCGAGACAACACAACACCTCGTGCCAAGACGGGAACACAACCCACTAGTGGGAAAGCAAAGCTTAAAATTGCAACTTTGAGAGGGACGGTGATAAAAGGAGACGGACAATATGCCTAAATGGGTACTTGAACCTATAAGATTCATCCTGAAATATGCAACCCACAAAACAAAAATACTCATTAATTTACTAGTGGAATTCAAAAGCTGGCCCGAACACGATGCTAGTCAAAATAAAATATTGAAGTGCGAAATGGAATTGACGGAACGGGTTAGGTTACCTGCCGGAGTTGGTGAGTGGCGAAGGAGTTGAACGGAGCAGAGAAGTAGACATTTGCAGTTTGCTGCAGCAGAGACACAGGAGAAAATGAAGGCGGCAGAGAGATTATCCACAAATATGCAATTCTATTCGGGTTTTCTAATTAAATTAACCGCAAAATTTCATAATTAGCATTATTAATCACCCTTATTGCTACAAAACAGAACTACTAATTTTGTGAAACATATCAAATCTAGATAATACTCCAGACTATAGTGGGTAAGTTATTTGTAGTATATAAAATCTACTAGTAAAATTAAATATTTTTATTGTTTTTCTTATTATTCACTCTCACAAATTCTAAATAGTTTGTCCATAATAACGAAAAAACAATTAATTTTACTTGGAATTTTTCATGTTAGAATTATGTTTGATCATAATTTTTATAATAAATATTTAAAATTTAAATGTACTTTTTCATAATTAAAAAAACGTAAAATATAATTTGAATGGGATAATTTATAAAAAAGAATTAGAATAAATTTGAAAAAGAAAACGTAAAAAATTGACAGTGAAAAATGAGTTTTAGGCTTTTTCAAGATTCCCAATACAATTTCAAATTATTTTCAAATAAAATCGAAAAAAAATAAACTGACCAAATGGATTATTTTTTTTGGTTAAAAGAGGAGACATTATATCATAATATTATGTATCAATACAAACAGAGGTGGCTGCATTATGGCTAGTGCACGAGTTATCAGGCCATATAACTTGGTTACAATTCAAATTACATTGAGGTTTATAGGCTTGCGGAAGAGGACTTTTAACTTTTTCTGCTTCTAGTATCTTCCAAACAAACTACGGAAGAACTCTCCATTCCTCAAAAAGCTGGTCCAATTTCATCTTCTCGCCATCTTTGGCTAGCAGGTCCGCTGCCACTTTATTCTTTCCTCGAGGCTCATGCCTGATTAGGGATTCCCCATCCTATGAATGGATTTATTGTTACTACCTCTCTACACTCACTTCATTGTTATCGTCGCTTCATCAAAATAAAATTGAATTATTGACTTCATTTGAAAATCACTATATATATATATATATATATATAATGATGATACAGTAGTCATATAATAATTTCATCACTAAATCATCATGGTTATTATCGATTTCAAATCTAGGTTATGCTAACTTCAAATACTAAGTTTCAAACGTAAGGTGAAGTTCAAAACAAACATTTTTGGAAATGCATGTTTTTAAATTCGTGATTTTCTACTTTAATCAAATAAATTTTCGTAATGAGCATATGTCTTATTTCTTGCCTCTATCTTTACTTAATAAAGTAGGTTCGTTCAAAAAATCCCAACGCCAATTGGGACATATCTTCCACGAACGGTTAACTATTAAGGATGACATTTTATGCATAACTGTTAGTCTACACAAATAAAGAAGCATAATAAACACTTCGTAACTCCTACAAAATATTAATTGACACTACCGTTCAGCTTATAATATTTATTAAATATATAAAATAAATTGGTACTACTTCTTTGCATTGTGAAGCATGTCAAAATTTGCATCACACTAAGTTCATATTCGAGGAAGAGTTGAACCACAAGGAGTCTTATGTTTCCACAGCTCAAATGCAACTTCACCAGTTATATCAAAGTTTGCTTCATCTCATATAAAATCTGTCCAGTTCACTTGGCTTACGCAGCCAATACTAGACGAAAATATTCGGTATGACAGAAGTCACGGAAAACATGTTGTTTTGATGAAAGATGACTCGCATCAAATACCAAACAAATCTTTCTCTGGTGATAGTAAGTTCCATGTACCTCACAAGCCATCAACTCAAACATGACATGTTATTTAACACACTGAAAACGAATGCATTCTTCGTCCATACAGAGACTGGCATAGTAGCATACTGTACAGATGCAGAATTTCTTTGGTGGGGGCAAAAGAGGGTTCCGTTAGGGAGGAGGCAGAGGTTGGTTATCAATGCTGACCAAAACAGCCACTCCCTACAGAACAAGTTTTGCAAGTTTGAAGCTCATAAATTATGTCAACGTAAAGGATGTTTTTTACTCCTCACCTCCTGCACGTCATAAAGGTACAAAATAAAGAGAAAAGAGGAACAAAAAGAAAAGGCATTCCCTTTTTGTGAAAAAATAAGCACCAGCCTGAGTTTGCACAAAGGCTTAACTACATACAGTGCAGGACTGTTGATAGTACATTCCAAATACAACACAACAATTTGAGGGATTAAGCATTACACAAAACAATATGCACCGAGTTTATATTGTACATTCTTACTTGTCAGTGCCTCACAATGGCCTAGGATACCCTACTATAGCGGACAATTTCAGGGAAGTCGGCCTACAAAGGAAAAATTGCAAGGCACCTCCAGGCTTGGAGCATTACTTGCCACACAAACTTATCACAGCGTTTCAGGGGCCATCTTCTAGGGCTGAATAATGAAGCAAAGAATTAGATTATTTGTACTAGCACTCTTTTTTGTTCTCTTAACTCCCAATTTCAGGGTCGACCTGAACAGAGAATAAAGATACTTACAACAACAGCAACATACAGAGAATAAAGATACTTACTGCTTAAAATAAATCCTTGAAGCAGGCTTTGAGCTCTCTCTGCTTGCTCCGGAGTGCCTGATATTTGTATGATCTTATCTGTTACCTCGGGCCTATCCTCGATCAATTTAACATTTGCTCCTGACAACTGTCAGCAATAAAAATAATATAACTGTGATACTTGCTTTAGCCAAATGTGATTCTGAAATGAAGTGGGTGCGTTGAAGAAGCCAAACTGACCTCACTAATCTGAGCAAGCTTATTTCTTGATTTTGTTATCAGTTTGGGCGCTGCATGTGGAGGTATGACAACTTCCAATATACTTCTAGTGACCAATGTTACATGCATTCTGCAAAAAGAGAAAGTTAGGTTCAAAGACAGCAAACTAACATGGTGTAAGATAAAATAGAAAACTGTTACCTATTCAATCCGCTCGGAATATCTTCACGACGCTCACTTTCATTTTGCTTGGCTATTTCACTGGCAGATGCCCCAGTTTCCTACAAAAATAAACACCTTTTTAGGAAATATAGCAGGGGTTTATTAATCCAGGCTATCCTGCTAACTTGAAATTTCTCTGAGACAACTATGACTATTTGGCATGCTAACTTTCCAGCTCATTAGGATGTCACATTAAAAGGTTGGGGATTAGAAAATTTAAGCTCATCCGGAAACAAGCAAGAAAAGAAATTAACTCACTTTTACTGGCTGTGCGATTGGTTTGGCTGGTGTATTTTGATAGATTGAAGTTGGAACATCATTAGCACTGTAGTTTTGTTGAGATGGAGATGTGTTATTGAGAGAATTTTTGTCTGCTCCAATAGTACTCCTAGCAGGGCTTGAGGCAGGTATTGCTGGTGAGGGTATATCCTTTTGAAAGAACTCCCGATAAGTAAAACTCCGAAGCCTCGATGTCACTTCAACAAGAGCTTCTCTAGCTGCTTTGATCTCTCCAACAATCTGGAGATATGAAGAATTACATAGCATGTCCAGAAAAAACATAAGTCCAACAATTGGAGCCCAGTACTACTCTATCCAATAATTTGAATTCTCTTATACGCAACCAGGAATTTATACTAAGACCATAACATTTAGGAAAATTAGTAGTAGGTGGTAAAATTTCAGAGACAAGATTCCCCTTGCAAAAGGAATGCACTGCCCAAATATGCACCACCTCTGGTACACATATCAACTAAAGAACATGAAAATCAAACTAGCTACCTTTTTATCATCATATTAGAAGCTTAAAAGAAAATTGACAGACCTGTATAACTTCATCAGTCCTTGACACACATGGTGGAAGTTCTTCCTTTGGTAGAATCTTGACAGTAGCACCAGTTATTTTCTGCATATCAGATAATAGTCCATCTCTTCCTCCCAAACATTCAACTTCATCTGTTTGTACAACTAAACGAGTTGTAATAACATTTTCCTTCTCCGGAACAAGATCGACAATGCGGGTTTGAATATGCAAAAGAGCTTCCTGAGCAGGAAATAGCTCATCATCTGGACCCTAAAAGACAAATGTAAACCAGATATCATCCAGAAACTTTTAAGCAGCATCCTAGAAAGATCATTTTATGAGGTTTATGCTTGATAGGGTGTAACAAATTTCATAAATGAGGCTAAAAAGAACAAAGCTAATGGAATCCCATTCTAGAAAACAGCAAACTGAAATTAGAACTTTCATAGTAAAAAACGGCAATAACTTACTGAGACCTGGACAAGAAAGAGTAGAGGGAGTACCTCATCAGACGAAATGATTATGACCTGTTCATCTGAGCTGGCAACGGGATTCAAAATCTTCACATCTACACCAATCTCATTCTGAAGCAACTCTATAATTCCATCTGATTCCCCAGCAACAGTATCAACCTTGTCAACTGGACATAGAATTCGGAACACAAGATCTTCAACATACATGACCTGCCCATTATCATTGTTGGGAGCGATTCCAGATTCAATGGCATATCCAGACGAGGATGAGGAATAGTTGTTGCTTCGACCACCGCTCATACCAGCAGGCAGCCTTGATCCAAAAGCAGACCCATTTTCAGACGCCCTGCGAGCTGTACTGTTCATGTGGGGAATAAATTCGTCATCAGGAGGGATGAACCGTTCAGGAGAATGTGGCCGACCAGGAAAGTGACCCCGATCACGATGCTGGCTCTCCCTCAAGCGTGAGGAAATAATTTCTACAGCTTTTTTCACAGCATTTATTTCCCCAACAACCTGCAAGCAAACAAGTCTCAGACATAACACATAACGCTGAGCTACTAATGATTGCTTTCAAGCAGGCAGTAATTATCCAATACAATCCACCACATTTATACATTTACCACAAGCAAGTCCAATAAACCTTATACCTAAATATCATGATTTCTATGACTCAGATAAACTCAGAAATCATCAGTGATCAGACACAAGAAAATTAGCTTACAAATCAATAGCAGCAGTATTTTAACAATCTTTAATTAGAAATCTCCTCTGTGTAATACATCAGAAGGAAAAATTCAAGAGCATTGTCTGAGAATTACCTTAACGGCAGCAATAT